GTACCCTTCAACGCCCTCTCTGCACAAGCAATTGGAGATTTCGCCACTCCTGTGCTCATGCATGGGCAAAGTACGAATGACACTAAGCTCCATGGTTGTATTGAAGCTCCCTACTCCGTTGTTACTGCATGCCTTTGCATGGTCATGGTACCAAGCACATCATGCCTGCTCGTTGCATCTCGCCTCCCTCCTTTTTGGCGTTCATTTCCTTTACGCGCTCTTTCTGCGAGCAACATCGTGCTTTGTGGTTGCATCCAACCTTGCTACTCTTTATGTACATTTTTTTGGCCAGAGTGCAGGTGACGCTTTGTGGTTGAAGCAAACTTGTCTTCCCCTTTGGTAGTGTTCCCTACCTTTGTATGGCCAGGTTGCGAGTAAGATCTTGAATTGCTTGGTTGTTCCATGCAGCCTTCCTATTCGCGAGTGCTCCGCGGAAGGGTTCTTGTTTTCAGTCTTGGGATCACGACCGACCAAATTCATTGCGTCCGTGTCCGCAAGCGTCCACAAAACGTCCACAAGTGTTCGGAAGCATTTACAAGCGTTCGCGCGGTCACCATCCTCTTATAAGTGCTGTCGCTTTTGGACCGTCGTTGCTGCATCGGGTGTCAAAAGCACAAACAGTCACGGGGCATGGGGCCGGGAACGTGGGGAAGCGTTGGTTATTCGTCGCGTGTGAAAAGCCCTTGAGTGCCAAAAATCACAGGAATGACGCCCCATGGGGTAGCTATCCTGGTGACTGTCGTCGTTCTTGGAAAGTCACGTCTTCATTGCGCGTGCAAAGTAACAAGGATGAGACTCCTTGGGGTCGCCATCCTTGTAATTGTCGGCACTTTTTGGAGCGTCGTGTCCTTGCCGCATGCAAAACCTGCCCACTGTCGCAGGCACAAGTGTTCTCGGGGTCGCCATGCTCGTAACTGTGCTCGCTTTTTGATGGTCCTGTCTTCGTTGCATGCGTCCTTGTGGTCGGGATGGGGCAGTCAGACTCGCCATCCTCGTGCCTGTCCTGGCTCTTGGAGTGAAAGCTGGAGCAAAGCGCAAAGCGGAAAGTGGAGAGGAGAAGGGGGTGAAAAGTGACTGGAAGGCAACGTGGAATGCAAAGTGAAACGGACAGTGGAGTTAGGGTGTCGAGGTTTTGGGAGGAGTTTTCACGGCCGCTTAACTAGGTTTGCGCTTTTTGCTGGTATGTACCTTCCCTCCTCCTCCTCTTCTACCCCACTCCAGTGTTAGAGCCTGGCTAGCCTTTGTTGGCCTCGGCTCTCCCCTCAAGTTCCAGTTGCAGTTGCTGAAGGTTTTATTTTTAGCCAGGCGAAGGGGGCGGCAGGTCTAGCCGACTCGAAGTCACCAGAGAACAATCCAGCAAATCCGAGTGTGTTTTTGAATGCTTTTCTTCCATGTGCATTACATCCAGAGGCATGTTGCCCAGCGGGCCATTGCAAGATCTTAGATTTAGGTTCACATTAAATGCAGGAGGGTGATAAGTATCCTTTGTGGGCACATGATGACGGGCCATGAGGGATCTTTCATTTCAAGGAAGTCCGACCCAAAACCCTTCCAGTTGAAATTGGGAGCGGCCAGACGTGATAAGGTCCGCCATTCTAGTTGTAGGCATAGCGCAATTGTACAAGTCATCTGGGTGTCATGAGGCTGCGGTTGTTCTAGGGGCTGTTTCCGGGGTGGTCCTCTGCCTCGCGCAAGTGGGACTTCCTCAATTTTGGATGAGACCGTAAGGCGTGTCAGATCTACAGCCGCCTCGGCGATGTGTTAAAGCTGACTTTGATGTCCAGGCTCGGGGACGGATGCCGCTGAAGTGGTGCCTATGGAGGCGGCCTTCACATTATAGATGCCGAGCAAAAAGGACAGGCCGTCTTTCGCACCCTGCAGCTTGATGTGGAGGAGCTCCAGGAGCTCGATGAGCACGAGGAGCTAGAGTATTTTGGCGAGGCAGAGGAGGCGGAGGAAGCATCTCCGCTTCTGGCTCCGAGTCACCGGGACGAGGCACGCCTGGTAATCTTGGGAGGTCAACTTGAGCCTTCGAACACTTGAGGTCGCACTCTCCAGCATGCCTGAGAAGAAAGGCAAAGTGCGGAACGCCCACCTGGTGCGCATGCAGCATGCAGCCCTTTGCAGAGGGAGTCCAAGAGACTTCCGCGGATAGCTGTGAGGTGGAGCCTCCTCTGCCCGAAGGCATTCAAGGCTACACGCCCGGCGAAGGTTGGGGGAGAAAGCTGCGCTTTGCAATCAAGTCGTTCACTCGGCTCGAGGCTACGGCTCGAATGCAATCCCCTTTGCTGGAGTCTCGCCCAAGACGTCAAAGCGTCGCAACGAAAGCAACAGGATGAAGGCTCGATTTCTCTGACCTTGCAACATTGGCATCTCTTCTGCTGATGCAGGCCATCGAGATGCTGAAGCAAGCTAAGGAAGTTGCAGACCGAAAGAAGGAGGCCCTCGCCTTAACCTTCCACATCGCTTCTTGATGATGTCCAACGGCACTGCCCGCGACCATGCCAGGAACTGGCTGCTCGCAGAAGCAAACCGCCCTCGCTAGATGCTGAGCAGCGACAGGCAGGCTGTCAATCTTCAAGCTGTCATGTTTCAGGCAAACTGTCCCTGTGCCGCGAGAACTCTTTGGAGAGCTGCAGGAGAAGGGGTGGCTTCTCAGTTCAAAAAATTGGTGGCTTTCGTGATCTGCTTCAATCTGCTTCGTGTTCATAAGGATCGAGGCCCTGAGTGCCAGCGGTCTCCGCGTTGAAGCACGAGATGCTGGGGCAGAGGCCCATCATGACAGGCGCAGCCAGTGGAAATTCTCAACAGAAGCAGTCCTAGCTCTAGGACACGTACAGCGTTGCCCGAAAACCCTTGTCTACGATTTACACAGACAGAAATCCAAAAAAAGGAGTTGTCAAAAAGTGGGCATGCGTAAGAGCTCGGTGCAAGCACGGCGCGGGAAACTGTGCAGGGGTTTGACTACCGAACTATGGTTTAACGCACGCCATGATGTCACCAGTGAAAATTCAAAAGTACTCGGCGAATCCACGCAAGCTCCACGGAAGGGTTCGTGCAAGCGCACATAGTCGTTGGAAGCCTCTGGCCTATCATGGTTCCCTGAATGTCTTTCGCGGCAACAGGGCGGCTATCTGCAAGACAAAGTGGTTGGATGCTGGCCAGCCGGGCCCTGTATCTTTCATGGCAATATCAGCCATCTCAGCTCTGTGAGCGCGATGAGCCTCCACGGAAACCATTTTGAGCCAAATTCGCCCTCAAACCCACGCAATGTGCGTGCACGCACGGAAGAAAACCCAATTCGAGATGAAAGAATATTGGGCAACCCGCAGCAGGCTGTTGGAAGCCCGATACAGTTGTCAGGGACAGAAATGCCTGCACTGCCCAACCTTGACTGACTGCCAGGTGGGTCCAACTCAACATTTCAGGCGAGGAGGAACAAGTTCGAGCAGGTGCTTTAAAGGGATGCCAGCACCAGCCTTTCTACAATTGCAGAAGCTCTGTAAAGGTGTTCTCAGGCTGATGTCGTTGATGGTGCCACGTCGTTTGGGGGCTGGGGCTTCCGCCTGAACCTTACCCGCATGTGAGTCGATTGTCATGATGTCATGTCCATTGCGCCCAGCACAGGCTTGATCTTTCTGCTGTGACTAGCAAGCTGACGGAAGCGGAAAAGGCAGTTGTTTGCACCGAAATGGAGACGCTTGATGCACAATTGCCATCTGACTGTACATGCTTCAGTACAATTTTGCAGCCAGAATTGCAAGTTTTGATCTGAAATTTCAATTACGCAGCTACATGCAAGCCCCTTTTGCTTTCAGCAAAAGTCCTCCTGCCTGGTACAGATGGCAGCAAAGTAGAATGAAGGGCAAATCAGCAACAGAAGCCCAAGCGCCCAAAGATGGCATCTTCCAAAAACAGGAGAAACAAGTTACACCGTCGCGTGTGCTCCTTGCGAATCCAGCATGGGCTCCAATTGCCGGTCTAAGCTGAGCAGGCCAACTGCTGGGCTTTTGGCACTAATGTCCAGGGCCACTTCTGCTTCTCTTCTTTTGGGATGCAGGGTCCAAGATGGTCAGCACCTCCTTGGGTGCTTCATTGATTCGTCCTCCACTTTTCCATTCAGAAGTCGTTATCACGAAGTAGCAGTATGTCCTTATTATGTATCGCTTGCAAGCTAAGCAAACCATCTTGTGTAAGGCATGCGGAGCGATTCTTCGCGTTCTGGGACACATATATCATATAGCAATGCGGCAAGCTGCGGGGTCTAGTAAAGAAGAGTCCGAAAAGACTCGAGGCAATCTTCAAGTGCAGTTGAGCACAGCACCCTCAATAGCGTTTAGCTCCATCATGTAAAAGGCCAGAGATTTCGTGTTCATGCGAGTACGTGGGATCTAAGACATGCCGAAGGCCTGGTTTGGATACGCTTACATAGACTTGACGCCAACGTGCACTGCTGCCAGGTTGGATTTCTGGCCCGATAGCCCGATAGCCCACGCCTCACGTTGCTCCACAAGAAGGTAAAGGAAGGTAAAAAGAGGAAACTTCAAAAAAGCGACAAAAATCGCTGATCCTTCGTTCCCAGCCATGGGCAGCGGCCAGCAGCGCAGCGAAGCCGCTCCTTGTCACAATACATCACGGTAGAGTTGCGAGTTGCGGAAGTCTTCGGGACCTGCGCTTCTTCAAGGGCAGGTAGTTGAAACTAGCATTGAGGATGTAATGCAAGTATATGAGTCATGAATCATGAAGGAATAGGTGGTGCCCAAGAAGTGGTCTTAGCCCGAAGCCCCTTCTCTGACTGACCCCCATGAGACCTCGGCTTGCACCAGTCATGGCGTGGCTTTTTAGGAAGGTGTTGTGAACAGGACCTTGATTCGCCCCGCATGAGCACTTTTGCTGACAAAGACGACAAGGTCTGAGCCTCTTGCTGTGATAGTGGGAGACGAGGGCTGGCAACGACAAAGACGACAAAAGTCTGAGCCTCCCGCTGTGATAGTGGGAGGCGAGGGCTGGCGACGACAAAGACGACAAAAGTCTGAGCCTCCCGCTGTGATAGTGGGAGGCGAGGGCTGGCGATGACAAACACGACAAAAGTCTGAGCCTCCCGCTGTGATAGTGGGAGGCGAGGGCTGGCGACGACATCGTTTGGTGCACGCACAGGCCATGTAAAAGGGGCAAAATCATGGGTCACAGGCCAATACCCACCGCACTTGCGGTATTTGTGCTTCTACAGGCCAAGTTTGCAAGGTCCTCCGTACTTACTGCCCGTTTTCTGTTCCGCGCTTGGTGCAAGGAAAAGGGGCTCCCGCTGTGCATGTCGCGCTGTGGGTGTCATGACGAAGAGGCAAAGAACATCGGCAGCATCGTAGAGCTCGAGGTAGACGACGACCAGCTGAATCTGCCACCGCCCGCGATGCCAGCGCCGGCGTCACCAGCCTTCCGGGCACCGCCCGCAGAAGTTCGGGGCCCGACGGCCTCTGAGCTGGCAGGCTCCGCCACGCCGACGGGATGTGTAACATCACTGTGAACATGTCGAACCGGGTGCCAAACATCCGGCTAAGCTGATCCCGGCGTCCTCGAAGCAGTTTTCGTCTGCATGTTCACGAAGAGAAGTCAAGATCGCGTCCCAGCTACAAGAGTGCAACATCAGCGCCGGGGGCGCGGCGACTGCTTCTCCGCTTCGAAAAACCAGCATGGCTGGCATGGCTTTTTGCTGTTGTTGGATGATGTTGCGAACGCATTGCATGCAACTCCGCCTCGCAGTGGTCTGAGCAGGCAACCAGCAGGAGCTGCTGAGCCAACTTCAGACGGCCCCGGGAAGGTGCAACAGAAAAAGTCGCCAATGGACCGAAGTTGAGTCTTATCTACTTGTAGGTTCCAGTTTTGTGAGAGAGGCCTGATAGAAATGGGCAACTGCATCAATTCCAAGGTTTCACTAGAGACAAAGGTGGACCCCTCTCTGACTCTGCTGTATCAGATGTGGGCCCTTGTGTCTGAACGCAATTCTGTGCTGACTGGCTCCATGTCCAAGACTGGATTTAATGATTGTTTCTTGGGTCTCTTGCGCGTGGACGCCTCTCTCGATGGTGCCGCAGGCTCCCGTCTAGCTTCACTTTTTTTTTTGGATTCTGATAGTCGGCTTGGGCATCATTGTGAGGCCCCTCGCCGCGAGATCTCACTGACTTCTTTAATGCGATGCTGCCTGAGAAGAGCAACTTTTCAAAAATCTCATGCTGGGACACTGCTCTAGACTGAGGAAGTGGGTCTCATGGACCGCCGGGAGTTTGCGAGGATATGTCTCTGCAAGCCGCATGCATTTCAAGCAGTCTTGTCGACTGCTGCATGAAGGACGGTGGCAGAAGCAAGAAAGGCCAGAGGGATGAGGAGATGTAAATTTCCTGACTGCTTTGACATTAGCTTGTTGCGGCAGGTTTTAAGCCCTACCACTCGAAGACAGTTCCTCGATCTGCAAATCTTGAGGCAGGTGGCTTGTCTGATGGCCCTGGTGTCTTCGAATGCCTGGGCAGGCGGCTTCTCAGGCTCCCCATGCACCTGTGACGACTCTGCCCAAGGCTGAGTTTCTCTTGAAGTGGCCTCTGGCATTAGGTGCATTTGCATCATTTACCAAGGATGCTGAGAAATATTCCCAACAAGTTCACGCAAAATTCCTTGATGCAGGCACTGGTTGGAGACGTTCCTGCGCTGCACGGTCTCGTTTGTTTTTGAGTGCTTGTCTTTCAAGGAGATCAGTGAACGTGGCTTTCAGGGCACCTACGACTTCTTTTACCTCCCCATGGACTGGCCGGTCTTTGAGCGAACAGAAGTCTTGGTACGCCATTTAGTAGAGCCCCTATAAAAAGAATCTGCCTCATGACATGGGCCATTTAAAGCTGCTACAGGTCAAAGCCATTAGGAAATCGAGGGCAGCAGATGGCTCTTGCTGCAGGACGTGCACAACAGAAGCAATGTTGCCTATGCCTTCTTGAACTTCCTCTCCCCTGAAGAGGCATGAAGAAAAGCTGCAGAAGCAGCAGCTCAACTTCTCAAGTCCTGCCAGCCCAACCAGTGAAGCCAGGCCGAGAGATTCCGAAGTGAATTTCATGGTCGGCAATTTCAAAGATTCAGGAGTCGCAAGGCGCGGACTCTTAGCTGCCACAGGAACCATCTTGTGAGCAATGAACAAGAGCAGGCAACCTCAAGCCTTTTGTGCTGCTTCTTCTGCGCTTCACAGTGCACAGTGCACTTTTACAAACGCTGCTGGAGCTCTACTACAATCTGCGAGTCCATATCAATGCCGCATCGTGCTCCCTCTGAGTCATACACAGGCAACTGGCACTTGGGTTCCAGGCACAATAGTTTCGAAGACATTACTTAGCTGGTTCAACGCATAACCATGTCGGGTGCCTGTTTGGCTGGGAACTGCATGCTTCATCTGAATTGGAAGAGTTTGACTGGAAAGTGTTCGCGTGGTCACTCAAGGGCTTTCCCTGGATCCGTCCGACTCAGAATTGAATTAGTTTTCAATCTGGCATCGAAGGTAGCGGCTGTGTCCAACGCTCATCTACAAGGCGTGCTGCTTAGCAGGAAAGATGTCGTGCGACAGAAGTTGCTGAATACGATGTGTCTCTTGCGTTGTGGGAGCCACTCGATGAAGTGTGCCAGGCCTGCAAGCCAACCTGCAGCATTTCGAGCACAGAGTCGTTATGCTGTCAAGGACCGGAATTTGCTGGCTCATCAAGTTCCGTGACAAAGCCTTGATTGGGATATCAACTTCACATTTGCAATGGTGGTGCGCATTGGTCACGCTGCTTTGCATGGAGGGGCTGATGGAAGGGTTGCGCACCCTTCCGCTTGGTGCCGAAATTCTTGCTGCAAGCGAATTGCGATTCAAAATTGCCTGTTTTTGCAGGAATGACCAGTATCGACCCATTGTCTTCCGTAATGGCCGTCGAGTCAAATTCGAGGACGCTCTTCAAGAGGCGAGAGAGCTTGGATCGAGCGTTGAAGGCACGAGATGTGCAGACAACGTGAGGTCCGGTCAAGCACAGCAACATCGTCCATTGCGACATCCGTAGACGAGGCCAAGCTCACAGCGAGCCTCTGCATGAATTTTGGAGATCCTCTCAGGCCGCTGCTGCGTCTCTTTACGTCTCAGAGCTGCAGGACACTTCGGGGGATCTGTTGTTTTCCCTGGAAGCCTTGACCTCCTGTCCCTTACAGGTAGCAACTTCTAGCAGCTAGCATTTCTTATGATCATTTGTGCAATTTTTTAAGGGTATTTTCATTGTTTCTCAAATCTTTCTCGCCACCTGGCTCTGTAACTTTGTTTCGTGTTGCAGCTGCCCTGTCTTTCGTTTTACGCTCGTGGCTCAGAACAAGACCTTATGGACCTTTGCTGCAGTTGAGGTGATGCCATGGGTTATATACAAGTAGTGGTTATATAGGGGGTTATACAGGGGTTATATAGGGGTTTATATAGGGATAGTGGAAAATAAGATAGAAACTGTTGATTATTTAATGACACTTCCACCAACCCCGTGAATCCGCCTGGGTCGAGGGGTTGCTCGGAGTTCTGTCCGTTAAACCGTTATACACATCAGCAAGTGGAGGCTTGGGGGGAGGGGGGGTGGGAATTGCTGAGTGCTGATGTTCATAGTTTGGTAGGATTCTGTGAGTTGACGGACATGAAGTCCTTGCATGAAATACTGGATGCTGAAACTTTGGACTGAACTGATCCTCGCTGTAAAAAAGTGTTTGGACATGTCTGTTGTTGTTTGTTTGTTCGCCGCCTATGAGTGGTGAGTTCGCCGCCTCTGCGTGGCGTGTTGCTGCGTTGAGCGTAGGTGAGCAGGCTTCTAAGGGGGGGAGGTTTGGAGGCGGAGACGCTAGGGAGATCAGGAAGCGGCCTAGGGGCAACCTCTCAAAAACACGGCCCGGCACCACAAAACAGTTCTTGCGAATTGGGTGCTGGGAGAAGGGGAAGCTCAGGGAAAGCCAGGCAAACTGGCAATTGGAGGGAAAAGAAAGCCAAGAGCCTGGGCAGGCTTCTAAGGCGCCTTGGGGAGGTTTGGAGGGGGAGACGCTGGCGAGATCGGGAAGAGGCCTAGGGGCAACCTCTCAAAAACACGGCGCCGCAATGCGGACAGGTGGGTTTTGAGCAGGGTGGTAGAGAGGGTTTGGGGGAGGGGAGGTGGGGGGATCTCAGAGATGGCCTCTGTGAATTGGGTGAGGGGTTCGGGGATCCGGCGCCTCCGGCACCTATGACCCGATCTGCGACGTGCATGCCGGAGGTGACTATCCAGGTCGGTGAGGTGAGACAGTGCACGTTGAATGCATCTGATGTGCAAAACATACTTCTGCAGCATGCATTTGAGGAAGCATCAGCTGAAGTTGGCAGTTTGCATTATGTTCAAAGCACATGGGTCATGTCGCGTAAGAAGCACAATTCCATTGCACACAGCATGTGTGGTAATGGTGCTGGCAAAGGCAAGGGCAAAACTACCAATCAGGGTAAAGGAATTGGCAAGCAAGTCATGCAGCCCGGGAGCAGTTGTTTTTGCAGAGTGTTCGCGACGCAATCCCCGAAGCAGCCCACATTAGGGTACAACGCACACTGCTCCCAGATGAGTGGAGTACGCAGGTTGTTCCATATCAGCACTTAGGTCCTTCAGGTGGCGTAGCCCTTGTGCCCAAGCATGCACTCCCACAAGTGCTCCAGGCAGTTGGTTTCACAGGGCATCCAGCATCAATTTTGCTAGTACAGGAGCCGGACGAGCTAGGATTAAGAGGCTATCCTAGAGACTCTGTCACGTTCTCCTTGTCGGTAGCTGCACATGCTGGCACACGCGAAGTTGTCACCGTCACGCGTTGGTTGGTTCAGCTCGGTTTTGGCGAGCCCGTGTTGCGAGTAGCGCAAGGTCAAGAGGTCACCATTGGCACAAAAATGAAGCGCATGTCCGCCAAGTTTGGTCTCCGTCACGGATGGACTGATGGTGTGTTGCCTGCAAGCCTGTTGGTGTCAAAGCTTGTCCAATACATCCCCGATCTTGCGATTGATTCCGTGCAGTCCCGTGCCAACGGATCATTCGCATTCTTGTGCCATGAAGACCATGTTGACACACTTTTGTGTGCTTCGGGCAAAGACGGCCTGTTCATTAAGTGTCTTAGTGAGGACAGTCTACCTCTTGAACTGCTTTGGCTCGACCCTACCGTTGTTCTCGAAGACGCGCTCAACTTTTCCAAACAGACCGACGTGTGTTTGGACTCGCAGAAAAGGGCTCCACTGGCCTCCTGGCGTTGCGTTTTCGGGACAACAACAGTCTCTCCAAGTTCGCCATCGAGCACAAGATGGACGATACTTCGAGCCATGCAAGGTGGAAGCTCACGGGCTTTCCAATCCAAGGTGGTTTGCACGCCTTGGACACACTATTGTCACAGAAAGGCTGGCGCGACGTGCACGTTTTGTTCTTGGACGAAAAGCAAGCCGATTTTCTCAGCACCAACCGTGGAGAAGACCTTCCCTTGTTTTGGCGTGCGGGTGCCCAAGCTCACCAGTTGCGTTTTAAAGCGGTCAACGCGGGCGCGCGTGCTCTTGCCAAGGAAAACCGCACGGCAGCTGCTGCCGCAGCAGCTTCTGCAGCTCCCACTCGCTTGCGCTCCAGTGTCACCAAGCAGCGTGCGTTTCTGCAGCGACTTAACGCCGATGCTAACATGGGAGACCCCGACCCTATCAAGCGGCCCCCCGAACAGCCTGCGCACACCTCTAACTCTAAGGACAAAAAGCCCCCAAACACTGGAGGCCACACGTTGTAAGCGCACACTTCCCACTGTGCAGGTAGCTAATGCCATGAGGTGTGTTTTCATACAGGTCAAGCCTTATGCCAAAGCACGCGTGTGTCACCACGATCATCGTTTTGCTCCCTTTTTTTCGACCATGTCAGGTCAACCTGTTCGGTCCCTCTCCGCTCGCTTGCGCAACAAGCGGATGCACGCCCTTAATGGCAACAGCGCCACTCCTCCGGCCAACCTACGTCCTGGTTACCAGCAACCACAGCACAGTTGGTTGCATGTAGCTACTCTTAATGCTACCCCTTCTGGCAAGATAATCAATCGTTTCATTTGCGTCCAGATCTGGCACGGTGCCGGTGACACCAGTTTCTTTGTCGACGGGCTATATTGCCCGAGCGGTGGGCGTTGGGAAGCCCCCAAAAAAGCGTATACCCACCGACTGCTTCAAGCAGTGCAGGATGATATCATCCAGCGCGGCAATGTGTCCGCAATCCTATGTGGCGACAATAACTTAGATTTTTCCGATAGTGTTGTCCTCAGGCGATGGTTTTTCGAAGGGCCATGGCACGACACCAGCGCCCTCGCCACCTCTGCACAGCGTGATTTGCCCACATGTCACCATGGTAAGGGATCTCGTATAGACTTCCTATTTGTCACAAGACCTCTTTATGATCAAACAACCTCGTATGAAACTGTCAAGCCTGCCGATTTTCCTACCCACTCTGCGGTTAGTGTTCGCATACGCGCTCCGCAACCCGTGCAAGTGCGACGCACTCAGAAACCTGTGTCTCGTCTGCCCTTCCTTGCAGGCCCCCACCCTAATTCCACCTAATGCACCCTAAAATACCCAATGAATTTAGCAAGTCAATACAAGCAGGGTCAACAACAGTTCTTGTGCCAAGCGTGGCCAAATTAAGTTTCAAGATCAGCGTCTCCACCCCCACGTGCTCAACGGACAGGCCTCCACGTTGCAAGACAGACACCTGTGGAAAGCACTTTGTAGGGCACGGGAGGTCATAAAGGCTGCTCCCGGGTTTCGTAGGACCACAACATGGGAAAAGATCCCTGCCGTTTTACCTTATCTTCAAGAACCCTACCGCGAGCAGGCAGAGGCCACCCTGCGTAAAGTAGAAAGCCCTGAAAATGCTGAAGCCTTGGTTGTTATTTTGCACCTCGTTATTGATCAGCAAAGCCGTCTTAATAGTCAGGAACGGATCAACGCCTGGAAAAAAAAAAACAAATCAGGCACAGTCCAAATGGCTTGCAAAAGAGCACAAAAAAGAGTAAAATTATTCGCGATGCATGGGCCCAAATATATCAAGCACACTTGGCAGGTGAGCCCAGCCTTTTTGATTTTGTGAATGTTTTCGGCACACATATGAAACGCTCATGCAACTACCTCCCCTTAATAAGTCGTCCCTGTGTGCACAGCTCAAAAACATGAAGGTTACCTCCCCCGGCATGGATCATTGGGGAGTGGATGATCTTAAGAGCATTGCCCTCTGGTGCCCTAGTATATATGATAACCTCGCCCAACTCCTTAACGCTGTAGAAGCTTTGGGACGCTGGCCCAAACCCTTAGTCCAGGGGGGAGTTTCGTTCATACTTAAAGAGGTTAAAGATTCTATCGCTACAGCCCTTGACCACCGCCCCATAACAGTGCTCTCAGCAATTTATCGATTGTGGGGTTCTGTGCGTCATAACCAGCTCGCTGCACTTTGGCAGCAGCACTGGGCGCCCCAGCATGCATATGGACTGCGGGGTAAACCTTCAGCCGATGTTTTAGTTTACGACACTTGTAAATTTTTATCACAAGCCCATGAGCAGGGAAAATTGTTTGGAGGAGTCAGTTATGACTTCCCTAAGTGTTTCGACCCCATACCCTGTAGGTTGGCGGTCAACATCCTGCGTATGAGACGGTGTGACAACGGCATCTCTTGATGCATTTTACGCGGTTCATGTCAAACATTTTCGCCTCGAGGGGCACCTCGATGCTCCTTTCACACCAGCCAACGGCCTGGTTCAAGGATGTCCTGTGTCTATGTTGGTCTTGTCGTCCATGATAAGAGCATGGCATGAACGTATGAATGCTGACATTCCCAGTGCCGTGCCACGCAGTTTTGCAGATGACATTAGCAGCCACTTCTTCTGCCCGCCCCGCGCAGGTTCGTCGCGACGTCCAGTTAATTCACCATCACACACGTGACTTCACACAACTTGCAGGGTTGCAGGTTGGAACAGATAAGTCCCTTACTTTTGGTCATGAATCCCTACAGGGTTCCTTGCC